AGTCATTCCCAAGAGGAGTAGTTTCAAGTACCTTGGGTCGGTTATTCAGGGGATTGGGGAGATTGATGAGGATGTCATACACCGTATAGGGGTGGGTGGATGAAGTGGAGGTTAGCGTCGGGAGTCCTGTGTGACAAGAAAGTGCCACCAATACTAAAAGGTAAGTTTTATAAAGCAGTGGTTAGGCCTGTCATGTTGTACGAGACCGAGTGTTGGCCGGTTAAAAACTCACATATCCAAAAGATGAAAGTAGCAGAGATGAGGATGTTAAGGTGGATGTGCGGGCATACTAAGATGGATAAGATTAGGAATGAAGCTATTTGGGAGAAGGTGGGCGTAACCCCCGTGGAGGACAAGATGAGGGAAACAAGACTTAGATGGTTCGGGCACATTCAGAGGAGGAGCATTGATGCTCCGGTGAGGAGATGTGAGCGACTAGCTGTGGTGGGCACGAAGAGAGGTATAGGATGACCCAACAAGTATTGGGGAGAGGTGATCAGGCAGGACATGGCACGACTTAGGATTACTGAGGACATGACCCTTGACAGGGAATTGTGGAGGTCGAGCATTAAAGTTGTAGGTTAGGAGGTAGTTGTGAATATTTATTCGGCGCATCAGAGTGAGACTTGTCAGTTAGGTTTTAGTTTTAGAATATTAGTGGTTTCTACTGATGTCAGTCTTTACCTACTGGTTATTGTGTATTTTTCATCTATTTCGTGTGTGTTTTATATCGCTGTTATTCTATTATGAGTCTATTGATAATACTAATATATCGTCTCTTGTCGTCTTCTTGAGCTGAGGGTCTCCTGGAAACAGCCTCTCTACTCCTCAGGGTAGAAGTAAGGTTTGCGTACATACTACCCTCCCCAAACTCCACAAGTAAGATTACACTGGGCCGTTGTTGTTATTGTTGTTGGTGACTCGAATTATCGGGTTGGTGTGGTTTGTCGTTTCTTTTGCACACCCCTACTGATTACTCCTAGTATTTCGTACTTGATGTGAGTGTGACACTCTTTTCATCCGTTTCAAATAAATAAAATCTTTTATATTTAGAACTACTTAATAATTAATGACTGGATATATATTTGGGATAAAAGTTGATGTTTAGTCAAATATCACCGTATATAAAATAGCGTAATTTATCTTGGACGATTTTTTAATTTAATAAATTGAAAATAATATCTAACGGATTTGTACTTTGGAATTTGAGCACTACCTGTCACTTTTCGGCCATAGATTTACCTCTGCATCGAATTTTCAGTATGTTGATATAATCCAGTTTTTGATATGATGTTAAAGTCTGGTTATAGATTTATATCTCATTAGAATATGTAGGGAAATTAAAATAAATAAGCGATATGAACAAATAAAGATGATGATTCATCTTAATTGGCCTCAATTTGTTAGGTATTGAGAGTGTTGTTTGTTGGTTTAAAACTTCCTTTCTATGTCTCAATATTTATGAGTCACACAATTGCTCTCCTATCCCAAACATTACTACTATTAATTATAGTTGATTTATCGAGAGTCAAGTTAAGTGAGTAGTTACAACAAAAATTAAATGTATAGAGTAACGCTAAGCAGACACTAATACTTGCATTAAAGTATGTTGTTTATATCACACCCATAGGTACGATTCTTCCCATATTTTGTGTGAATGTAGGATACCTTGTGTACCGAACTATTTTTTTTTTTCTTTACATGTTTCTCGGCAATAGAAAGGGAGCCTTAGCGTAATTACTGTCATATAACCAGGAGGTCACGAGTTCAAGTCGTGAAAATAGTCTCTTGCAGAAATGCAGGGTAAGGTTGCGTACAATAGACCCTTGTGGTCCGGCCCTTCCCCGAACTCCGCAAATAACAGGAGTTTTGTACATCGGGCTACCGTTTATTTTTTTCGGCAATAATTAATGTGTGCTCAATTTAGCATGTAAGTCGTTCAAAGAGTAATAATAAACAAATTCAATCATAAGGATTAGTGTGGAATTTCAAGTATGACCAAGGGAAAAATATCAAATTGGAAGTTCAGAAAGAAATGGTCATCAATTTATATGGATAAGCATATAACTATTAACTCATCCCATGATAAATGCATGCACTTGAAACAAAAGGATTTGGTCTTAATTGTGTGAGATATACATAATTCTACGGATTAATTTTGCACGTTTGGTATCTTGGAGTTAATTTGGTGAAACGTCATTTTCTTTTCTTTATTTATTTATTGCTTGTTCTAGTCTTCTCTTGTTCGAGGTGAATTGACCCATGTGATGAGTCTTTCCCTTTTCCCCCTTTTTTTTTTCTCCTTTTCGATTATTTTTTCTTCTCTTTGTTATGTTATTTATATTAATATACTCGAAGCCTCAACATTTTCACAACAAAGGCAATGATTGAATGCGAGGCGGTATGATTGGTACCGTATGAAGATGCCAAGGCTTATAGATTAAATAGGAGTTTCTAAAATACGTGTTTTTGTTAAGTATATTTTTAAATTATAGATAGATCCTTTCAGTTAATCTACATTATCCTTTTCGGTCTCTATTTAAAAAGTTAATTTCTCAAGATAAATAACATAATATTCAGCTAAGTGCATCATTCAGCTTTTTAAAAATAAAAATGTCAATAGATAATATTAGACTAATTCTAGAATATATATATATATATATAAAATATCTAATTTAATGGTGAGAACACGGGTTCGTATGCACCATAATAAGAGTTATAAATCCGCCCCAGCCAGGCTGCCACTAAAGCACAAAGATGTTTGGACCGCAAAGAAATTATAGTTCCACTTCTCCCGTTGGAGCTCATTCTATTTTTAAAAACGTACGTATATGTTATAAAGTGTTGAGTCCAAAAATAAATAAATGAACAAATAAAAAATTAATAAACCATGGTGAGGACGTAATTGTAAATTTATTCCTCTAGTTTTCGGAATTACTCAATGCTTCTCCAAAGCAACTTGATGATAGACGTGACGCTTCGCCGTAACGGGAAACAAAAACCCTCTCCTTGAAACTAACGGAAAACCCACGTCATTCTACACATATAAGTTAATCATCCCCACTCTCGCGAGTATATAAACCTACTATAATCGCTTCCCTTAGCTATTGCGTCAGCAGTCCATTTCTTTTGGCGACGGCTCACCTTAACCACCGTGATCGGAAGCACACACGAACACATTCGTTATCTTGGTGCCACGGATAGAGCGGCTGCTTTGACCACGTGTCCCAAAGCGACTTAGAGAGGAATTTCAACCATATAAAGTATTGTCGATTTCGATTTGTGGGGCCTACTATAACCCAATTGTTGGTAAAGGTAACGGTGGCCAAAGGAATATAGGGACCTTTATCATTACTGGGGTCTACATCAAAGTAGGACCCACATGAACTGTCGATTTTCTAGCGCTCTTTCTATTGTACATGGCCATCTTTGCGTGTTAAATACTATCCATACAAATATACGCAAATATAACATTTCTGTTTTCTTACTTAGTACCACAACGCTCTCATTTTAAAATGAGCTAGATAGAGTTATACGATATCTATTAGCAAATATAGAATTAATTGAAATTTATGCAAATTGGCGCGAATACTAAACAATAATAACAATCCAGTAAGATTATATAAATGGGGCATGAGGAGGATAATGAGTACGTAGACCTTACTCTACCCCGAGAGAGTAGAGAGATTATTTTCTAAAGACCCTCGGCTCAAGAAGACGAAAAGAGACAAATACATCAGTACCATCAATAAAAATCATAGAATAATAACAACGATATAAGAACCGGAAAATAGAGGAAAAACGATAATAATAACAAGTAAATAAGGTCTGGTACTATGAAAAACGGAAGAATAGTGTGAACAAAACATCAATTTGGTTATGTAAATATATTTTTTTAATCATATTATATCCAAGTCTAATTATTTTGATATTGAAGGGGAACCTTGCCGTAACTAGTAAAGTTGTTGCCATGTGACAAGAGGTCACGAATTCAAGTAGTGGAAACAGCCTTTTGCAGAAATACAGGGTAATGCTGTATATAATAGACCCTTTAGGTCCGCCCCTTCCCCGGAACGCGCGCGCATAGTGAAAACTTAGTACACTGGGCTACCCCAATTATTTTGATATTAGTCATTAATTTTACTCTAACACTTCCGTTTGTGAACTTAGAGTTGTCTATGCTTTATTAGATTCAAATATGAGTCAACTCTGTTTGACCCAAAAGATATTGAAACCTTTTTGATTAAATCAATTAAAGAAGATGAAGAGGTAAATCTTAGTCAAAAATAATAAACTCCAGATCTGTAAGCAAATCAGAAAATAATGCATAAGACGAAATAAGGGCGATCATTCTTATTGAGGCTTTTGATTTCTTCTCTCACTAATTGATGGCGACGACTGTTTTATATATCTCATGGAAGATTGTTTTGTCTTCTTTTTCGCTAAGAAGGTTACAGAGGAGAGGAAAGAGAAAGAGAAGAGAAAAAAATCCTCTTTTCTAGGAAGGTTCCCTCCCTATATATAATTATGAAATCCTTACTATGTTCTTGGGTCAATACTGTAACACCTCAAAATATAAATAATATTTGCATTCTTTATTGAGCATTTTTATAACGAGGAGATATTTTACTTTACACTTCTTAAACGTGAAATTGACAATATATAAAAATTTCTTACTTTAGGTTGTGTTAATATTGACAAAGAAGCTTCATAGTGTTGCTATGTGTAACACTTAATATTATTTTGATGAATTGTTATTAAATACATTATATAATTAAATTTTTGGGCTGCCAAGCTTTTATATTTATCTAAAGATATTAGTAATTTGAGCAACCACATTTTTCATACTTATTCAAAATTTAGATAAAACTTTGAAAGACTTGCCTTTCCATATTCTTCTCTCTTGTTTCATTCTTGCAAGACAAAGAAACAAAACCACCTACCCTCTCTCCTTCTTAACCTCTGGAAACTTCATGAAACCACCATAAATTTATACTAAATCAATCAACAAAATTCGTTTTTTGGTGAAGATCAAGTTGCTCCTCTTTTTTGGGGTAAGTTTCTAAACTCGTTTTTACACTAGACAACTATCAGTATTTTCTATATATCGTTTTGTACAAAGCTCTGATTTAAGTGATCCAGGACTTTCTGTAAAGGTAGTTCATATATCTATAACTCTTATGAAGGTACCAAAATCTAGTTTTGCTGGTATTTACCCAAAAATGGATCAGAAAGTACAGGGCATGTGCTTTCCAGATTTTCAGTTTTGGAAATACTCCATGTACTACTGTTAGTAATTTTAGCATAACCTTTTGTACAAAATAGATATGGGGGTGATTCAAGATGTTCTGAAACGCTAAGACATAAATCTACAACTTTTATGAAGACTATGCAGTCTAGTTTGTCGTTTAGTTCTTTAAAACTGAGCCACAACACGAAACAGTGATACTGTCCAGATTTTTTGTTTCAAACATTTTTGAGTAATTTTCACCAATATCATGTTTAGTTTGACATGTTAAATCACTGAACTTATTTAGATATTTGATTATGTATTTAAGGTATATAAACCCTTCAAAATTAAAGGGAAAGTGTTTGAGGAAGTGGACGGATTTGGTTTGTTTACGGCGTAGACGATTCGAACGTCCCCAAGTTGTGATTGAACTATTTTGTGGTAATACACCAAGGTTTGTGTATAAACTTTGTACTCTTTTTGCTTGCTAGAATATTTTAAAATAACCTAATATTTATTTTTCTTGTTTTCAATTTATATTGTTATATTCGTATTATATCAATTATTGTCAGATATTTGCTAAATCGCCCATTTGTACGGATTGTTTGATCATTTTGCATTTTTTTTTGGGACTACGTCCTTCTTGTGGCGGTGACTTTGTCACTCCTCTTGGCATGCCTCTTGATTTGGATCTTTTTCCATCTTGACTTTGGATTTGTAGTTCGTCTTAAATTATGAAACTTGTCCGTGTTAAGTAAGAACTAGGAAGCCATTTTTAATATGATTCTTGATTCTCTTGACTATTGGGTTTTGACCCTACTTGATTTGGGGCTTCGGTCCATCTTGATATCTGATTATGCTTAGTGTGATGGCATGACGTACATATTGGGCGAAATATGGATATTTGGTAAACTCTCTTGGATTGATTGTATACACTTTCTCGACTCTTGAACATTGTTATTGATATTTAGAAACACTTCAAAGTTTGATATTTGATATGTTTGATATATTTATTCACTTTTTTAAAATTATGTTAAATTGAGATAACTATGACAAAAAAAGGAGAATTGGAGAATTTAATGACTCCAAGCCCAAAGTTTATATGCCACTAAGATTTATGCTTAGCAATAGTTGTTTTCTATCGAAGGTAATGTACAAGATTAAATCTGAAGACGACCATTATGAAGTAGTCTTTTGGGAGCACTTATGAAGATCACATTTGTATATGCACCTTGATTTTGCATAGTTTTGTGACATGTATATGATATATATATATATATATATATATATATATATATATATATATGTCACATTTATGTATGTTATTTGGAGGCTTGTTGGATTTTAAGACCAAAATCTTGTAACTTAAATTTGGTAACTTGTTTTGCTATTTTAGTGTGTGTTAATAACTCAAGTAAAAGTAATATGCTGAATTTACACTTTGTCTTGTAAATATGTACAAAGGAGAAAACTAGTTACCGTTTTATATACCCGATAGTTTGAAATTTATGTACAATACAAACTTGCAGTGATGTTGAATGAAAGTATAAATTTGTTAGGAAGTTGTTTTAGTCTGTTGGTTGTTCAAGAAGGGTTATATCACCTTATGTTAATATTTTGACATTGTATTTCATTTAAAATAAAATTATGAAGTGTATTTTCAAAAATAAAAAATAAAAGAAAATATTGCACTTTGAACCTTTTCGCATGGGCCTATTTCCGCTAATAAATTATTCTGAATATTTTTAACTAATATCTTTTTAATATTTCATAAGTAGTAAATTAGATTTGTTTCCTAAGTAGCACCCTCCCAAAGGGGTTGCTACAAATACATTTTCATACCACATCCACTTTCGTCATTTCCTGAGTGTTGTTCTTTGACTTGGCGGGTATTATGAGTATGGGGTTTGGAGCAAACCATGTCGTCTTCCACGGTCTCGCCGCTTGGATGGGATCTCGGTTGGGTCGACCGCAGCGGTCAGATTTTAACCAATACAGTTAGTCCCTCCGTCTGCCGGGGTCGTCTATTTTCGGGCCTGGTATACGGATTATGATTGTTACATATCTAAGAGAAATCTGAATACCTACCCCTTGGGTATGGTCTTTAGATTCAAGTAACATAATGAGACCTTTTCGATATCCTTGAACCGTTGCGGCCGTTTCGGAACCAAAACATCGTTTGACTTGAAACATTGTTCGTGATTGCCACCATTATGACACACGTTCCCAGGGGATTGAACCGTTTCATGCCCTATCAACTTCAATTGGTGACTCTTGGGTTTCGTGCTTGGGGGGATTTATGTCTCTTATAAATAGAAGGAATGCACCATTCGATTGGCACACTTATTTGCCTTTACTTGAAAGAACTTTGCGAATCTTCTTTTCCCCTGATACTTCAGATTTTTGATTTTCTCCGGTTAGCCAGGAACTTCCGTCTTTCCTTTTATTTATCCCTTTGCTTTATCGAATTGATACAAATGGCTGGTGGTTCTTCTCGCGCTGACCTCCCTGCCACAATTCCGGCGCCGAAAAGCGATGTTCTGGCCACTGGAGGAGCAGAAGTGGTAGAAGATGAGGAGGTCCTCTCGGTGACTGAGATCCTGCCTCGCCTTGGGAAAGCATGGAATGATTTCCATAGTCCCGCCGGGGAGGAGCCGGAACCTTCTTCCTCTATCATAAATGAAGAGGTCCCGTCGGTGGCTGAGATCTTGCCTCGCCCTGGGAAAGCATGGAATGATTTCCACAGTCCCGCCAAGGAGGATCCGTAACCTGCTTCCTCTGTCATAAATGAAGAGGGGATCGCATAGTTGAAGGCTAGCTGGGGAATCCCTCGCTACGTCGAAATACTGTCGGCGGTGGGGAACAACGTAGTCCATTTTGACCACCCAGGGTATTGCGCGTTCAACGCCTACCCCTTTATTGTTGGATACACGCTTCCTCTTCCTCTCTTGGTGGTAGATTTTTGCCACTTTTACGAGGTATGCCCAGCTCAACTTTCGTCGTACCTGTATAAATTGTTCCTCATGTTGCTCAAGTTTGCAAAACTTGCCGGTTGTGAGATCACTTTGGGGCACATACTCAATATCTTCGCCCCCCAACTCATTCATGGCACGATGATTCACATGCACCACCGAGGGTCGAAGAGTCTGGTGGTGAAGATGGATGACAGGGCTAACCGTCACTTTTACGAGAATTATTTTTATGTGCGGACTGAGCACCTTGTGGCGGATCCTACGGGGTTCCCTAAGAAATGGAACTTCTCACGTAAATTTCTATACTTTTTGTCGGAGTGATATCCGACCGCGTTCCTTTGGGTATTAATAAACTGTGTATGTTGTTACAGCCTCGAACCTACCCCCTATACTTGTTGATGGTATCTGCAAGTGGGTGAGCGCCATCTTTCCTCATACGGCGGGGATCCGCACATGGTCGTCCTTCTATTAGAATATGGATGCAAGCCCCTTACTGGTGAGTGATATCGTTTTCGTTCGCTATTCTTCCCCCTTCCTTTTTTACTTGGTTTCTTATGTGATGTTTGTCGATGCCAGGGAGAGTGCGAAGGGCGAGGGCTCCTCCACTAGCTTTTTGTTAGCCTACATCGTCCGCTCGCCCTGCTTCAGTATCCATTGCTTGACCTTCGTCAAGGGCCGCTTCAGTTGAGTCTACGGCTGTGGCCGTACACACGAAGACTGCCCCTCAAACTGAGATTTCGACCTATGTTGCCTATCCAGCGGGTGAATCCTCCCATGCCAAGGAAGGAGAGGGGCTATCCAAGAGGTGACGAGTGGAGTTTGAAATGGCTCCTTCGGCCGTGATACATCTGGAGGAAGACCTTCCCTTGACGGGGTCTGAGGCGGGGGTTGATACTATTCTACCTGTAGAGGCAGAGCTAGCTGTTATATCTGCCCCATCGACGGAGATCCCTACCGCTATGATTGATCGGCAACCTCCCGTGATAGGGGGTCAGATTTCTGAGGCCACTGTTACTGTTTTGGATAGGCCTTCGTCCTTGGTCGTGCTTCCTCCTCGGCCGCTAGAAGGGAAAAGGGTGTCGTGGTCGATGACTATGAATCTGAGTCTGTCCTTGATCCTAATTATGTCAAGATGTTTGAAGAGTGTATTACCCGTTCGGTGGTTCATGCGGGAGGCTCGTCCTGTATTCTCGAGATCTCATCGGATATTAATCTCCTAGCGGACACAGAGGACCTGGTATCGCAGTTCAACATCTTGTGTTCTGCTGCCGAGAACGAGGCTCTTCGGAACGTTCCTGATATTGACTTGATGCATGAAGTGGCCGCTTTGGGCTTGAGTGTACATTTCGCCTTTCTTTCACGTTCCTTTTATTTTTTTGGACAATATGGTCTTAACCCATCTTTTCGTTTTTCAGACATACATGATGGAAATTGAGAGCGCTCGTAGGGTTGACATTCGACCCAAGATTTTACTGAAGATGTTGGAGAAGTATCGGCGCTATCACAATAAGTGTCGTGAGATGCACGAGCGGTTGAAGGCGAACCCTGGTGCTCGATCCCTCGGCGAGGAATTGGAGAAGAAGGACCAACAATTGATGGAGGTTATTTGCAGAAGTAGCGTTCTTGAGGAGCAACTCGTGCGAATGATGAAGAGCTTGAGTTAGGCAAAGGGGTTGCTGCAGCTTGTGAATACCTTCAGGGGAAGCTAAGGTCAATGCAGTCTGCGATGGATCAGAATCTTATCAGGGTCGAGGCGATGAGCGCAGAGTGGATGGGAAAATTGGCCGAGTTGGAGAGAAAGGTTTTCGAGCTGGAGAACATTGAGAGTGCCTAGTCATCGGCTTCGGCAAGGGTGGCGGCTCAGGAGAACACTATCTGCGTCCTCCAATCCGAGCAGGAATAGGAGAGGGTGACGGTCATGATAAGGGAGGCAAGGCTCGAGGAACGCATTGGAGAGATCGACCGGGAAGCCTCGACCTTAGGGGACCAGGTCACTGCTCTTGAGGCCTAAAAGGAGCAACTGTTGGCTCAAGTCGAATCTTCCTCCGCCGCTGTTCCCCGTTATTTGCACGAGCTTTGGGTTCATGCTGAAGCCCAGCGGGACATATATAATAGTTTGTGGGAAGTGGGCAATGTTACTGAGGCCGCATATGAAGGAGCACGGGCAAAGGCACGAGAGGCTCGTGTTAACTGTGGATATGACTCTACGACGCCGGAAGTTGATGAGGGCGCGGACGATGAGGGAGGATTTCCTGGAGTTGGTGCCGAGTGAAAGAAATGTTGTCTTTGTCTATTTTTTTTGTCGTTGTTTATTGTTTTTTCTTAGACTCCGTGGGTTTTAGCCGTATGTAATCTGCGGTTGTTTGCGCAGTAGCTTTGTATAAAGAGGAATTTTCTATTGTTATATGGCTTTTGTACTTTTTTTCTTGTTTTGCTCTTCATAGTTTTGGTGCAAAGAAGTAGATTTCCGCGTGATGAGTTCCCGAATCTTAGGGAATTTAATGTCACATGGGTTGAGTAGAGCCTCGATGATGGCTTTAGCTGATGGGATGGTGCTTTTGGGCTTGTGTCGAGGTGCTATCCCATCATAGTTCGAACGATATCGAATTCTTTTTCTAATAGCGACCTTAGCCGTAAGGATGTTACTTTCGAGCTTATATCGAAGTATTATCCCGTCGTGAGTCCCAGTTTTCTTCGGTGACGACCTTTGGTATTGAGGGTATTATTTTGAACTTTCGTCGAAATACTAACCCGTCGTTGTTCGATCAAGTCGAACTCTTCCTTTTGGTGAAGGCCTTTGCCGTTGAGGGTGTTAGTTCAAACTTTTGTCAAAATATTAACCCATAATTGTTCGATCGAGGTCGAACTCTTCTTTTTGGCGAAGGCCCCTGGCCTTGAGGGTGTTATTTCGAACTTTTGTCGAAATATTAACCCGTCGTTGTTCGATCGAGGTCGAACTCTTCTTTTTGGTGAAGGCCCCTAGCCTTGAGGGTGTTGTTTCAAACTTTTGTCGAAATATTAACTCATCGGTGTTCGATCGAGGTCGAACTCTTCTTTTTGGTGAAGGCACTTTGGCCTTGAGGGTGTTATTTCAAACTTTTATCGAAATATTAAGCCGTCGTTGTTCGACCAAGTTCGAACTCTTCTTTTTGGCGAAGGCCCCTGGACTTGAGGGTGTTGTTTTGAACTTTTGTCGAAATATTAACACATCGTTGTTCGATCGAGGTCGAACTCTTCTTTTTGGTGAAAGCCCCTGGCCTTGAGGGTGTTGTTTCGAACTCTTGCCGAAATATTAACCCGTCGTTGTTCGATCGAGGTCGAACTCTTCTTTTTGGTGAAAGCCCCTGGCCTTGAGGGTGTTGTTTCGAACTCTTGCCGAAATATTAACCCGTCGTTGTTCGATCGAGGTTGAACTCTTCTTTTTGGCGAAGGCCCCTAGCCTTGAGGGTGTTATTTAGAACTTTTGTCGAAATATTAAGCCGTCGTTGTTCGATCGAGGTCGAACTCTTCTTTTTGGCGAAGGCCCCTGGTCTTGAGGGTGTTGTTTCGAAC